GGAGGCAAAGATTTTGAAACTCCATCTCATATACTTTGGGCATGTGGCCAGGAGGGATCAGTCCTTGGAGAAGAACATCATGCTTGGAAGTGTAGAGGGACAGCACAGGAGAAGAAGACCCAGGATGAGATGGATTGACTCAGTGACTGGAGATGTGGGACTAGGTTTGTTGGAGATGATGAGACTGGCTCATGATAAGGCAGGGTTCAGAGCTGTTGTACATAAGGTTCCTATGAGTTGCAGGCAACTTGATGACACACAACAACAACAACAACGTATTGTTAAACTGAAAGATAATAATGGTCTTCCAAAAACCTGAGATCTACGCTGTATTTCCAACCAGTGATGGGAAAAGAATACCTGAGGTTCAGAGAGCAAGGTACATCTTTGAGCTTTACTGGTGTGAATCAATGTAGCAGAGTGGTTAAAAGTAATATGAACTTGGGTTTATCTTAGATTCAGTCACGACCTACCTATTCGAAATTCAGAAAGTTAAATGTTTGTGTTTGTGAGTAACTTATCTCACTCAGTCTTCACATTTTTCTCTGTAAATTATATGTCATCTTCATCTCCATTCTTCTGGTATGAATGCCTAGTTCTGAGAGGCTAGGTCACTCATCTAAATCTAAATGGTACAGAGTATGGAGCCTACTCTCCTTAACACACACACACACACACACACACACACACACACACACACACACATCTTTTTAAAAAAGAATTCTTTAAACGTTCCCCCTCACACACATACAAAACTGAAACAAAACATACTCTAACAGTAAATACTTAAACTATTAGGTTGAATCCAGAACTCATGAATAGGAGCTATGATCATATGAGATCAAGCTAAAAGAGCCCTTTACAAAATGTCATTTTACTAAATTTTCCTTTGTATTGTAAACCCATTGGTTATTATCCAGAAACTGAAGGGCAGTAGTTAACTCAAAGATGAGGATTATGAATCCATAGCTGTTGGCACACATGTCTGTCTCACAAATATCAAAGCTAGCACTGGTGGACAACACTCAGGCTCTAACTACTTAAAGAAAAGTGACAGCCTAGTATTGTGTCAAGGATATATATTCTAAACACCAATCATCAACAAATTTCAAAATATATGTTTCTCAATGTAGTTTCAGAAAATGGAGTTATGAATGAGGATATTGAATAAAGTATTTAGACTTAATAAGTCCTTTTCCATACCAGATTCACATCTGGCTGGAGCTGGAAAAAATCCCCACCTATGTAAACACAGGCAGCAGAAATACAACTTAGGCGAACTTGCCTCCAGCAACGTGCTGGTGGCATCTCTTTGAAAACAGAGCTTTCGTCAGTTTTTCTCTCTTATCTTTTTGGTTGCATGATGTATTCAGAAATACTTCCCATTTTTATTTCATTTGCTTGTCCCTGACCCTGGTTTGTACCAGTAGTACTTACTGATAACAGAATGGCTATCAAATATTTAATTGCATATGATTTATTAGCAAAATGTACATCTGTTCAAATGTGCTATAGAGAGTGCTTCAGAATTAAAATATATCTCCTTGTGAAAGTTCTGTCTATAGAATCTGCAATTATACTCAAGAACATATACCTCTTTAAATATTTCAAAATACCTACAACTTGTGCAATTTCTGTTTACCACATTGACTAAGACAGGTAATTGTAATTAATACAAATGCTCTCCAACTTCTAAAAGATCTATAGCAATTTTAGAAACAACAGTAAATATAATTAATCAGGGTAAAACTGATGGTGCTTGTATAGAATATTCTGTCAAACAAGTTATTGAGATAAATTATTCCTTAAAAAATGTTGAAAACTCAGGCATTTTCATTTATTATAAATATACCTAATTAGATAGATGAAACATGATAAAATTAGCTGTCTTCTATTGTTGTTGGAAGGGAGCTCTAGTGGCTCAATGGTAAAGAATTGAGCTGTTAACTTGAAGGCACGTGGTTTGAACCCATCAGTCGTTCTGCAGGAAAAAGACAAGCCGTCTCCTCCTGTGCAATTTACTGCCTCTGAAAACCTGCTGGGGGTCAGCTATGGGTCTGTTCCAACTCCATGATACACAACAACCGATGTAGGAAGCTCTGCTGGCCTAGTCTCTAAGGGGTTATGCTGCTATTCCAAAGGTCATTCCTCTCTGGAAGTTCAGATCTACTAGCAGGTCCTTGGGAGAAAGATGGGCATTTTCTCCCTTAAGATTCATGGCCTTGAAAACCTATAGGTGGGTCAGCTGTGACTGGAACCTCATACCCTTTCCTAATAGTTGTCATAGATTCAAAAGAATATACACTTTTGGAAAAAAAATTGCTTTGCTTACAGAATAAAGAAAACATCAAAGTATAGGCTTTGTGAAAGTTTGCAAAGAAAAGAAGTTTCTGTATGTTATTAGTTCAAGCACAGGTCAAATGAACTGATGTTCCTAACCAGAGAGCAAATGGCCACTGGTTGGTGACAGTTTACAGAGCATTAAGGCTAAATAAGGCTGATGCCTTTTCTTGTAGTCATTGTTAATACAACACAAAATAATGTGTTTATGAGTTACATATTCTTTAAGTTTGTTTCTACATAATGCTTTTATCATGCCTCTTTTAATAGATATGGCCCTTAGCAACTATTTTTTATAGACAGCCAGCTCTTGACAAGGCAAGGTGCTCTTTGGTGAGCTAATAACCTGCTAACGCTCAGCAGTGAAATGTAGAGTAAGGTACCCTGTGAGGCTCTTCTGTCCCTGCTCCAAATTTCAGGCCCAGAGGCTTGGAGCGATCACAGAGGACAATCCCTGCTGGCAAATCCGTGGACAGCTTCCTACGGTGACCCACTGAGGAGCTTGTTTCACCCTCACTTTCTCTTAGGACTGCTCTGTTTTTATGAACACTGAGATGCCTGAGTTGTATCTATCTACCTTAGATAACACACACACACACACACACACACACACGTTCAAATAACATTAAATTCTAAAACTCAAAAATGACTAATAATATATTAAAATCCACACCTGAAAGCTGTTCTCAACCTTTCTTCCTCTTGCCCTTATTTTTTTCCTTTTCTTATTTCTTCCGTCTTTTAATTATGTGCCTCTATGTCTTAGTAGGAAATGTGTGGCTGAAAAATAAACTCTACCAACTTGCACACCCAGGTTTGAATCACATGAACAAAGAGTGTCTTAGGGAACTCAGGGGCACATTTAAATAATGCAGTACATGCTTAAGCCAAAAGCCAGCCATATACTGTTGGACGAGCACAGCTACAGCAGTGTCCCCAAAGGCTGCCATCAAACAGGAAACCTGCCATGAGCGTCACGGGGGACCTTGGGGTCATCCAGCTCGATTCTGCCAATTTACAAATGAGGAAACTAAGACCCAGAGGCTAGCTAAAACACAGATCTGCAAATTCTACCCTCCAGTCAATATTTTTCTAATCAAGGCTGCCTATTACACATTAGTGATACTCAAGCAACATCTCCATGCCTAGTATCATGTGTTAATTATGTAATTTAAAAATACTACTTTGAGAATTCAATCTTAACATTTAGACGGAAAACTATGAAATTAGCAGTGCATGACTTTTTATTAAATATGACAGTTTGTGCTTCGTGACTTAGGTCTCAATTTATATTACATTTTGTATTTCTTCACAAAGGAACCAGAAAGATAACACTCTTCAAACTCATAGCCAGTGAGTCACAACTGACCATCCATTGAGTTTCCAAAGCTTCCTGCCTTCCTCCTGTGGTCTTCCTTGCTGGTGGACAGGTACGGTGTATTTGCAATTTTCCTTATAAACAAATAACAAGTCGCACGTGATGTGAAAACAACCCATTTTTATATCATTTTCTACTTTGTGCAAAGTTGTTGTGACTTACTAGTATTTACATGAAAAAAAAAACTGCATCAAGGCCATATGTTACTGTGGGCAATCTCCTCAAATGCATAATTTATAACACAAGCTCAGTGACTACCTGAAAGACTTAGGCAGAATAATGAATTAGTGCAGCAGAAACAGGTCCTTAGAGGAACAGTTAAAATTTAGCTGAGGTCACAAAGAGAGCTAGATTAGTAGTTTCAGGCCAATTCCACATAGAGAGCTTGCTATGACACAAAAAATTCCACTTATTTCCAGAGTTTGAAAGAAATCGCTCTAAAATGTTTCTCTGAATATTCTAGACCTATTTTTTTAAATATATATTGTTACTATGTGTCATTGAGTTGCAACTCCCTCCCAGCTGATTCTTCAGCAGGTTTTCTGATAATATAAATCACATGGGAAAAGATTATCCAATTTTATGTAAAACAAATCCCATATAATTAACCAAGATTTTACTTATTTTCATAAACAGGAGATACTGCATTTTTAAAACATCAGCCATAAGAATTTATGTCATATATCTTTTTATCTATTATGTTTATTATGTCATATCTATTTCTCTATTTCCTTGACCACCCTTGACTACAAAGCAGAGTCTCATTCCTTGACTGGTTGCTGGTGTGGGTTCACCCTTCCAATGCCTCCTCGGGCTGTGCTGGGACATTCGTGCTCTCATAGCGGCCTGTGTTGATGAGCTGCCTCGGAAAGCAACTGCATGCAATATGAACTGGACCAATGCTGCTATTACTACTGTCCTCTTCAACAACAGTAAACTGTCTTCTTCCTGTACCTTCTGGAGCACGTCCATAGAAAGTACTGAAAATTCCTTTAGAAGGAATAGCCTTTAAGATGTTAGTTTTATGTAACACCTTTGAGGAGAGACATGTGATTCTTACAATATTCTGGAAAGATATGGTTGGTATACTCATCAAAATGAAAACCATTTTCTCTAGATTTTGCCACATAAATTTGAATGTCAGATGATAAAACATGTTAACCACAGCCACAGCTATATATTCAACACAAAAGGCAAGTGACTAATTGGAGGAACTGAGCATTTTCACACATTGGCAAACAATAAGATTTAACTACATCTCTGGCCGGAGCTAGGGACTCACCTTTTCTTCATTACCAACACAACTCCAAGAAAGATAATAACGAAGAGCAAGATGCCAGCAATGACTCCAGCAATTTTAACAGTATGGTCTGTTTGTTTCTCAGGCTCTGGGACTGGCTTTGGAGTGGCAGCTCCTGAAAACAAAAGGAAGTAAGAAAAAGAGAGGAAATGAGTTGGAGAAACTACAGAAGCTACCGTTTTTATTTTCCTGGTGTATTAATAATAAGACTTAACAGTGCTAGCACAGATAAGCTTTGACTTTCAAATCAGCTTTTATTTGCTGATTTGAAGGGGTGTGACTGTTCACATTGTCCTTCAATATGTTATTAAACCATAACACACGTTGAATAGCATAGCCGCGCCTGACCCTGTCATAAGAAGATTCTTCTCAAACACAGTTGTTATATTTTTATTATCTCTATTGGTTCCCTGTTCTTTCTGCTGCTTAAAAAATTGCTCACAATAGTCAGAGTAAGCCTTTATCCACATTTAATGGCTGGAAATATTTTCCTCAATTATTTTTCATGAATTAAGCAATAATTCCCTAACATATTAGTGCAGACACCTGGAACAGAGAGATAAGCTCATTTACTTTGCATCTTACCAGCAACTGGGTTTTTTTCTAGCACAACAGGGTACCCTCCATGCAAACCCTCTAGTATTTGGGGATCTAAATCCAGGTCACATCTGGGAGGTAAAACACTTCTTGCAAGTAATCTACTCACAAAATGGGAAGAAGAGATTGGCATCCACCTTTTGTATCTGTTTACATGACATAACCAGGGCTTTAGAGTGGCAACAGTCTTCACCTGCGGCCCCCACTGCTCAGATTCCATCTGCACTGTTTAAAGTATATTGTGATGGACATCCCAGCTGTATTTGATGGAGATCCATTTCTACTGCTAAATGAGCTCAGGATGACACGTACTGGAATGCAATCTTCAACTCACTATTCAGGACGCATTTTTACTTCTTTTCTAATCAGCACTTGTCAGTGCTCAGCCCTGGCCATCCTGGTGCCTAATGCAGGCCACTCTGAAAACATTATTTTCACTCCCAAATTTCTCACCTTAAAGCTTTCTCTTTTGACTTTGTGGTTAAGAATGTAGTTAAAATGTAATGTTAGCATCAGTTCTTTTGTATCTTTTCACTGGGGTCTTTTCACCTCATTCTTAAAATATTTGACTCTGGTGGAGCCTGTGTCCTTGTGCACACCAGCCTGGGAAGATCCACCCGAGTTACAACCAGAATTATACAGCATCTAGTTATAACTTCCACCCTTGCCTCCAAGGAATAGCTTTTCACCCTTTCCAGGACAGACCTGTTTGTTCTCTTGACCCTGTTTGTTTAATATGTTTAAAACTCTTCTCCAGCACCACAATTCAAAAGCATTTATTCTTCTTCTGTCATCCTTAATCATAATTTAGATCTCAGGTGCATAACAATCAAGAAGACCATGGTCTGGATTAGGTGCACCTTAATCGCTAGACTGACAGCATTGCTTTTTAGCATTCTGGAGAGGTCCTTGGCAGCAGACTTTCCTAAAGCAACTCACTTTCTGATTTTGTGACTACTAGTGCCAAGAGTGTTGATTGTGGATTTGAGTACAATTAAACTGCTGACAATCTCAATCTTTTCTTCATCTATCATGATGCTGCCCAGTTAGTAAGAATCTTTGTTTGCTTGATGTTGAGCTTCAATCCATATTGGTGATGCAGTCCTTGAGCTTCTGCAGCAAATGCTCCAAGTACTCCTTAGTACTGGCGAGAAAGGTTGTGCCATCTGCACATTACAAGTTGTTGATGAGTCTTCTTTCAATCCTGATATCACATTCTTCTTTATAAAGTCCAGACTCCTGAATGATGTATTCCACATATAGATTTCAAAAATATGGAGAAAGGACACATGCCTGGTGCACTCCTTTCTTGATTTTTGGACAGCTTCCTGGTCTAGGTATAGGTTTCTATGAGCATAATCAAGTATTCTGGGATTTCCATTCTTCTCAATGTTAGCCATAATTTGTTGCGATCCACACAGCCAAAAATGCCTTTGCACAATCAATAAAGCACAAATAGACATCCCTCTGGTACTCTTTGCTTGCAGCCAAGATCCACCTGACATCAGCAATGATATATATCAATAGTGCCACAGCCTCTTCTAAACCCACCTTGTATTTGTGGCAGTTCTCTATTGATATACTGTTCTCGTCATTTTAAAAATAGTCATCAGTAAGATTTTGCTTGCATGTGATATTAGAAATATTGTTCAATAGTTTTCACACTTTGCTGAATTACCTTTTTTGGAAATGGGAATAAATACATATCTCTCTGGTCATTTGGCTAGATGGCTGTCCTCCAGATTTCCTGCATAAGCTATTGAACACACCACGACATCTATATGTGGAAGTATCTCAACTGGTATTCCATCAATTCCTAGGGCCTTATTTTTTTGCCAATTCTTTCAGAGAAGTCTGAACTTCCGCCTTCATTTCCATTGCTTCTTGAACACATGCTATTTCAAAATTGTTCTGTGTTGACCATTTTTTTATTTTTTACAGTGACTGTGCATTCCTTCCTTCTTCTTTTGCATCTTTAAGTACTGAAACTTGAGGTTTGAATTTATTTTTTCAATTCCGTAAGCTTAAGAAATGCTGACAGGTTTGGTCCCTTTTGCTTTTCTGACTCTGCATATTTCACTATAGTACTTTGTCTTCTCAAGCTGGCCTTTGAAATTGTCTATTCAGTAATTTAACTTCCTGATTTCTTCCTATTGTTTTGACTTCTTGGCAGTCTAGTGTAATATTTAGACTCTCTTCTGACATTCATTCTGTTGTTTCTTTTTCCTCCTCCTCTCTCTTTGTAAGAATCTCTTGCATTTTTCATAGATAATATCCTTAATACAATCCCACAGTTCATCTGGTCTATATTCACTAGTGCTGAAGTTCTCAAACTTGTTCTTGAGATGGTTTTTAAATTCAGATGGAATAGACGTAAGGTCATTTACTAGTTCTATGGATTTTTTATCTTTTTTTTTTTTTAGTTTCCATTTGAACTTGTACATGAGTAGCTGATGGTCTGTTCCACAGTTTTAGTTTTCACAGCTGATATTGAGATTCTCCAATGCTTCTTTCCATAGAGACAATCAATCTTATTCCTGTGTAGTTCATCAGGCAAAGTCCACGTGTATATTCACCATTTGTGGTTTTTTTATAAAGAATATTTGCAATGAATAAATAGATTGTACATAATTCTATCATTCTATCTCCAGCCAGCCTCATTTCTGTCATTAAGTTAACATTTTCTTAGTACTGATCCTTCTTCATTGTTCCTAACTTTTGCATTCTCATCAACAATTTTTATTAATCAACCTTCAATGTATATTTAATTGATTTCAGACTACAAAAGTTTGTATAAATTTTCTATTTCTTCCTCTTTAGCTTACTTTTTGGTGCATATATTTGAAAAATAGTCGTGTAAAGAGGTCTTCCTTACATGTGTATGGATATTATCCTGTCACTCACAACACTGTAGTTCAGGATGGATCTAGAAATGTTTTTCTTTTTACTATGAATGTGACTTCATTTTTCCTCACTTTTTCATTCCTGGAACAGTAGATCAAATGATTTTCTGATTCAAAATGTCCCATACCAATCCATCTCATTTCATCAATGCCTAATTTGTCAATATTTATGCATTCCATTTATTTATAAACAATGTCCACTTTCCTACATTCATGTTTCATACATTCCACATATTAATTATTAGTGGCTGTTTACAACTGTCCCCCCTCATTTTTGCTTCTCAGTATGAGTGTTCAGCCTCCAGTGCTATATCTAATAGTCTAACTGGGCTCTATTGTTCATAGGGTTTTCAAAGGCCTGTTATTTCAGAAGTGAATGCCTAATGCTTCTCCCAAGTCTGTCTTGATTTGGAAGCACAGAACCTTAAACATTCCTAAGATATTAGGCATGCAAAGACACTTCAACATGCAAACACTTCTTCATGGCAAAAACTGATAAATTCAGCATTAATCTACTCACTTAGGTGTGTGTCCCATTTCCCTCCCCCTTGCCCCACCTCCTATACCATGACTGGCGTAAGCAAGGCCTGAACTAATCCTTAATATGATGGCTCAGGTCTCCAGTATGTGTGTGTGTGTGTGTGTGTGTGTGTGTGTGTGTGTGTGTATATATATATATATATATGAATATATATGTATATATGTGAGTGTGTGTATACACACACACACACAAATTCAAGTTGAAGCTAAAGAAAATGAAAACAGATTCACAAGAACCAAACTATGACCTTGACTCAATCCCAATTGAATTTAAAAACCATTTCAAGAACATTTCAAGGCATTGAACACTGACAAAAGACCAGATGAGCTGTGAGAGGATATCATCCATGAAGAAAGCAAAGAACAATTCATAGGACGAAGATAAGGCCAAAATGAACATCAGAAGAAACTCTGAATATTGCACTAGAATGCTGAGAAACAAAGAAATTAGGAAGTTAAAGAGTTGAAGTTTTTAAAAAATATATTTATTAACCAATATTAACGCATTAAATGAATCTATATATTGCTAGTCAGAGCAGCTTACAAAATGCCAGAACGCATCACAGAACTGAACAGCCACAATGAGTAATTACAATGTGCATAGTGGCTAAGCTCAACACCTTTATATAGCTTTATGATTTCCAGAAAATTTTTAATAATGATTCCAACAATTAATTTTAATTTTACCTAAAACTTCTACAAAACCAGGCCACAATATCTTTTTAAAAATTTTTTTTAAAACACACAGTTTCCACGCTGTAGTAACTTGGAAATATGCAACCGTGTCAACAGAGACAAAAAAGCCAAAGTCATGAATCTTACTTTCATGCAGCTAACAGTTAAATATTACATAAAGAGTTGAAGATTTTAAAGGGCAGCTCATGAAGACAAAACAAAGTACTGAAATGTGCAAAGAGATGGAGTCAGAAAATCAAAAGGGAAGAAGTCGCTTGACATTACTCAAGTAGAAGATACTGAAGAACTGAAAAGCCTCAAGATGCAATGTTTAAGGATGCTATGGGCAAAATCTTGAAAGATCCAGGAAGCATAAAAAGAAAATGGAAGATACATAGGG